AGAAAGTTGCCGGGCACCAGTTGTTGAAGCCAGGTCTGGTTCCATCACTGCTGTACTCCACTCGGTTTCATCAAAATTCATTCTTCATTAATTTGGGCGATTCTCACTATAGTACTATATACATAAAGCAACCATAGTAGTGATGACATATAATGGTAACTTACCAATTAACATAATGCAATCTAATTCATTGGCTGTTCTCACCCAAAATCAAATCCCCTTGAGGAACAGATCAGAATTCCTCATCCCACTGTAGGTGGAGGAGAAGTGAGTGAGTGGCTGCATGGTCCTGGTTGCCTACTGGGGTTAGACCACAACACTGAGTTACCACATCCCTTTAATGTGTTGTTTTTTGGTTTTTTTTTACTTTTCGATACAGAAATAACAATTATTTCAGTAATTGTTGAAATCTTAGACTCTCCTCTTATTCAATGGACTTCTGTCACGGATTTGCTGTTCATTGGCAACAGCTCATTCCTGTCCTAAAAAAAAGTCTGTGATCTAATGAAAAGCGTATAGTATAAAATAAAGCGATGGGTACCTTCATTTTGTAGATGCAGACATTATGACTCACCTAAATGGCATGGACATTGGCACAGAGCCAGAATTTAAGAACATTTTTCTTGCACATAAGACCATTTTTCTTTAACTAATTTTTGTTGGTAATTTGCTTTATCTGATGTTGTTTGACCTTCTTGAAATGAGTGTTCTTGTGTATATTATTTCACTGGAGCTGCGTTGATGGTTTTTTGAAATTCACATTTTTTGGCTTTATAAACCCAAGTGTCACGTGATTGCTCTGTTCCTCAAATTTGACTCCTACTTCATTATCGTGAATAGGAGTGACACAGCAGACATGCTTGTTTCAGTAAAAAAATAAGACCCACTATTGAATCAGAGATTTTGAGAGCCCCTTGCATTATTCAAGATGAGACTTGACCAAATTTTGTGAGATGAGGTTACACGTGCAGACTATATCATATAAGGATGCTCTATAAATGCACTGATTGAGTAATACTTTTTCGTCAAGATTTACTGGGATATGTAAGAACACTTATGTAATTTACAGTCATTTAGGAAGAGTTCACGATTAGCTTAACTGTTGATGTTTACTTGCAGTATAGCGAGGAGAGAAAAAGGAACGTTGTTGTGTTGTTAAGTACTTTCTCTAGTGTCTTATATCTTGAAAAATACGGCATGCCTTTCAGCTAACAGATGGAGTTCACAGCTGTGCATGTGAGTGTAGCCAGTCTCTGGGAAAAAAAAAGAAAAAGGAAAAAAGAAGGAATTACTCTTTATAGAAAAACAGTTCTTTTTTTTTTTTTTCCTCTTCATCTTTCCAAGAATCACTTACAAAGCTATTCATGGTAGTAGAACGTAGTAGCACGTGTTAGACCCAGTGAGATGCTTTGTGTTAGGGACTCTCGATATAGAAATAATCTCTCAATCTCTTCCAAATTTGTAGCCACACTCTGTGTTATTGCATTTCCTGTGTCTTCTGTGTGTATTTTTTTTTCCCCTCACAGAAGTTTCTCCTTGCATACACATACACCTCATTGGACTGTAAAGGTGGAAGGTTAATTTCCACAGTATGTCCTAATATTTATTTCTTGTCTTTACAAAGGAAAATTGTAGCTACAGAAGGCAGGAGAAAAACAGATGAAGTGGAAGGCATCAGTTGTCACTCCTGAGCACTGTTAGAGGCATGGTACAAAATGCATGGTTTACGTCTTTAAAACAAAGTATGCCATTAAGTGGGTAATGCTAAGAGGAATTTTATCTAGCCTATAAATACCAGTGAATCTTTTCAACTTCAAATCCCAGTACGGAGACAATTTACAGTTGCAATCAAAATGATGCACACAATTTAACTTCAGCACCATCTGTAACTCTGCTGGTATTTTAATAATGAATAAAATTATATCTTGGCTGCAAAAGTCCCACTTAAATAAAATACCTTTAAGTTCTAAGCAAAGTCTCCAAGCGGAGGCCTTTACAGGGCCTCTGATTTTTCCTGAAACCTCCTTCATGTCGGCTATAAAATATATCTCTCTCTCTCTCTACATTTAAATAGCAAGCTGTGGACAAAAGGTCTGTGGGATTCTGTGAAGCCCTTGTTAAAATGCCTCTGAAGCTCAGGGGTTGTGGACCAGGCAAGGTTTTGCACAGCTGGTCACAAGCTCTCCTGCCCTCCTTGCACAACTTGTATCTGGGTCAGCAGACGTATGAGCGAGGTCTAATCCGAGAGCTGGCTCTTTGCTGACACACCAGGCCCTGTGTGCTTGAAGAAAACCAGCTACAGGAGGCAGTTATCTTCTCTCAAAAAGCCTTTTATTATCGTGGCATGATGCAGGAGGCATGTCACATACTCTTCTGAATTTGTCTTTTGGACTCCATTATGAGGCCTACCCACACCAGTTTCTGAGTTACAATTTTATCTTCTTTTTCATCTTCTCCAATTTGTATACTTTTCAAAAAGGAGGCAATTTTTGCTCAGTAATAGTTTGCATGCTGCGTCCTGTTCCCTACCCTCCCTCCATTTGCATTGTTGGCTGATACTAGTCCCATGTTCCTACTCTGGGTACCACTGTCTTGTGGTATTTATAACTATTTCATGATGCTTATGGACACTAATAGAGTAGCAGCAGCACAGACCACAGTCTTACTGTGACTTGTCAAATAGTTTCCATTTATGGTGATATCAGATTGTTGGCGTAAGTACGGTACTACTTATCATACCAAAAAAAGATCCTGACGAACGATACACTACCAGGTAGAAGAATTGCGAACTTCACACTCACAGATTTTCTGCACATTTGTCTCAGTGAAGGTACAGCACTACTAAAAGCAGTTCAAATCTGATGTATGGGAAATCTATGGAGCCCAGGGATTGGTGATCTTTCACTGACCGTGTCCTCTTCATCAAAGCTTTCATTAAGGAAATGTTACTGACCTTTCTGGATGGCCTTCACATGTGGAAATCGATGTGTTTAGTCCCACTGACTTTTCAAGTGGACAAGGGAAATAGCAGCAGGACAGGTTTGTTAAGACATCTCAGTCATGGCTGGTAACCACCCTGCCTGTGTTCCAGGGACTGATTCTCTTCAAAAGGACAGGGTGAAAGACACACTAGTGTGATCACAGTGGGTTTTATGGCTTCCTAAATATCTTGTGTCCACTAATCGGGAATCTTCTGAATTCATATCGGTTGCTGCCGCTGAATGTTATCTCAAGCTTGGAGAAGTTATAAACTGGGTCATGCCGTGCCTACCAACACCAATGTAAAACATGTACTAGAAGAATTTGGAAAGTTGGGCTGAATCTCTGATTTCTGTGCAAATGCAATTTTGGTAATGTATTAGCTGTGTTTCAGAAGCATATGAAATCTTGTCTCTCTAGTACTTGGATACATTTTTTTTTTTTAGTTACTTTTTCGTACTTGTCACAGGTGTTGAAGGCCTTCACAAAAGATAGAGCTTAATCAGGTATTTGGGCAAAAGGCCTTTTCTGAAGTTCACTGTTTTATGGACTATCATCTAAAGCTGGTGTTGTTTCAAAGGAGCCCAAGAGTTTTAGTGTCTAAATCTCACTTGGATGCTTTTGAATTGATAACATTTATATTTGTTTTTTTAAAAGTAATAGTTTTGGACAAAATTACAATACATTGGATAAGGGGGAGAGAAGATGTCCATGATTTTAGTTGGAGGGCAATTAAAGGTTGTCCTGGTTTGAGGTAAAACAGAACCAACCTTCTCTGAAGAGAGAGAAGTCAGAGAGCATCCGTCGTTCGTTTCAGTGGCTAGTCTGGCCCAAACCATGACAAGCTACAAGAAAGGAATCAAAACCAATAAACCAAATAACTTCATAATAGGTTAGTGAGTTTCTCTTTTTTTTTTTTTTTGTTAATTTATCATGATACTCTAAAATCAGAAGTTAATAAAAATCAGGAAAATCAAGTTGATACGCGGAAATATTTTTCATTTCTGGTGCAAGATTCCTGATGACGGTTTAATAGTACACATGGCACTGTAAATGCTGTCTATAACTGCTTGTTTCTCAAAAGTCAGCATAGTCAAGGTCAGCATCCATTTCTCAAATGCAAGTCAACATCTGTATTGTTATGTCATTTGCATGAAGAAGATGGCTTATAGGTACAATTAGACACCCTTTTTTTCTTTTTTTTTTTTTTTCCCCCTCTTCTAATTATCTGGTTGGAAAGGGAACATAGGAGAAAACAACTGGCTAGTAAATGCTTTTCTTTGTGAGTGTCCAGATATTTTAAGTGATTCTGTAGTGTGGAATTTTATTTGTTAAAAACAATACTTTTAATAGACATATAACTAAGTTGACTCAAAAAAGCAAAATTCTTGTTCCGACAGGCAAACTGCCAAGGCAAAAGGACTAGGGTCAGAAACGAGAAACCTGGGAGCATCTAGAATACAGGTCCATTTCTGTCACACCAAGTGAGGGAGATGAAGTCTCTTGAAATGTGCATGCTGGGATTATCTGGTGGGAATCAGGATACATTGGCCTTGCTTTTGGATTTACCATGGGTCCTCTCTGACCAGGCATAAGCAGAAAATGTTTCATCTCTTTCTTGTCTGCATGCATCACAAAAGGAAATATGATAATAACATTCTTTCTTAGCAAGTTTTGTAATCTTGAGGGATGTGCATTGGGTGGTTTGTTTGGTGGTTGTGGTTGCTTTTTCAATTCTGCCTTCTCATGGAAGCAGGGCCGATGGGATGAGCCTCACTGTGCGTGCACATCCTACCTTTTTTAACCCTGCGGCTTATTTCAGTGAAGTTTTACAAAGAGATAACAATCTCAAATCTGTACAGTTTGTGCGTGTAGTCTCTCTGACAAGGGATGTATCGGAGCTATTCTGTATATGATCTGGATTGTTGTGCGTGTACAGGTTGACTGTTGCATCTCAAGCACTGTACTTTGAAATTTCATTTGGCATGTAAAAGCTGTGCCTTGTCCTGAATTGTAGGTCTATGCGTGTAGAGCGGGCAGGTACAACCTCCAGTGTGGCAAGGTTAGTTTTGACTCAGGGAAGGGCAGAAGAGTGACCTTGCATCTCATCAGGGTATCCATTCAAAAATCAGCTTCACTTGGAGGAAATTCATGCTTGCACTCTAAAGTCAATTGATTGTTACTCTCTTATTGATTGGAAGTTGGATTTTATCGATCCTGGTGCTTTCAGAACTATCTTCAAATTGTTAGTGCTGTCCTAAATCCTGAAGCCTTGTAATTACATGTTTTTATAGTTAGATACTAATTCAGGGAAGGTTTCCTGGCAGTAGTGGGGGTTTTTGTATATGAAAACCAAATAATGATCCCAGAATTTGGTATGAATTTGGTTTGAAAATGATATTGTAAAGCTGTAGCATCAGAGATCCAGGTGAGCGTGTCTGGGGACAGAAGCAAAGAATGTGGAAATGTAGACAAAGCATCTGGTAGTTAGAGCAGCTAATTGTCACTTTCCAGGCTGGAGCCTCCAGAGATCCCAGGGAAAACTCAAAATGCATTGCTCTGAAATGGTTTACACTTGTTGCTGTGCTGAGACACTTGGTGTCCCGCAGGTATCCAATCATACCCTCGGGGAACAGTGAGAACCCAGAAATTATCACTGTGACTCTTGTCATGGACAACTTGTGCATCGAAGGCTGGTGTGCTGAGCTCTCTCACGGTCCAGGAGCAACTGCAGGGAACTGAAGAGAGACAGCAGTCTAGGAACTATTGAATGGAAATCTCTGCCTTCAGTTGTTTTCAGCTTCAGGTTTTAGGTGTTGCTGAATAGTCATGTAGATTTGTTGCCAAGACCTTGAACCTTCTTTTGAGAGGTTCTCAACCCCTCTGTTGGGTTTTATAGAATGCAGAAGTTTGGGCGAGTTTGTTGCCCCTATGTACTGACCGTTTGAGATCTTTCTTTAAATCACTGTTCAGGTCACTAGTGATAATGAATTTATTTTCAGAGCCTTATGTTAATTTACAAATTTTTTTTAAGTCCAGACAGAACAATTATGGCCTGACCTCATGCTGTACCAGGGGGCACAGCACTCCACAGACCTTCCTGCATTGCAGTCAGAAGTTCTCTTTGAGATTTAAAGGCTGTAAGTGATAGAGAATCTGCTCAGGACCCTGGTAACTTGTTTTGTTGGCTAATTATCCTCAAGGTCAAAGCATCAGTGGCATACTTGTCCTTAATTTGTCTAACTTGCAGATTTTATTAGGCCTTTCTGCTGATGGTAACTGAAGGATTTTCTACTTAAGTTTGCTCTTTGAGGTCCATCAGTGAATGCACTGATATGAATTATATTGATTACTGAGTTTTCATATAGAACTGGATTTTGATTACAAAAGTGTCTGGTCTGTTCTAGAGAGTCATTGCAGAAAGAGATGAGAAACATTTAAATGTAATCTTCCTCATTATGGGAAAGATAACACCCAATTTTGGATAGGTCCTAAATTTGCTGTCATAACTATAAAGTAATTTTTGCTTTCATTACTTGCCTTTTGTAGCCCTGAAATATCATTAATGCATTACTCCCTGCCCCGCTCACTCCCATCCTTGCAAATTGTGTATTTACGCTGTGAGTGCAAGAACACTGTGGTGCCTGAGATCCTGCTAACCTGCAGGACTTTTCCAGTAATTAGATCCATGTTTGCTCCATGGGAGATTCAATTAAAAATGAGAGGGTTTTATTATTATTAATATTCCCTCCTGAAATCCCACACTAAGTTCTTGAGGGTGTATGTAACAGCATTGTAATGAGCAACCCTAGTTTACCTAATACCATCTTTAGTCAAACATTATGGGCTCAACAATTCGACTTGAGTGTTAGCCCAGTCCGTCTGTCCTCACATAAGGATGTGAAAGTAAGAGGGGAAAGACGTAGTAGACTACTCATATGAGCGAACAAAACTAATTTGGCTGTTTATATGCCTGGGGAAGAAATGAAGGAAGTCTTCAGATTTTGTAATTATAGTGCAGCACAGGACTCTTGTGAAGCATGGGACACACTTTTATGTGTTGCAAAAGGCCAGGTGGTGTATCCCCGTGTGTCACTTCCATACAGAAGTATGAAGTTGTAACTCCCACCTCACGTATCTGCTCTGTGGAGAGACTTTACTGAACACAACACCTGGGATGTTCTCGAAAGTCTGCCAGGGCAGTACTACGTTCTTCCAGTGGCTTTTGCAACAAAAGTCATTACGCTCTTTAACTGGAGGGTAGATCATCAAATTTCATTCCCTGAAAGGAAAACATTTTCTAGCTTTTCGAGTATTCAGCTCCCATCCAGTTGCTGTCCCACCAGATTGTCATTCTGGAGGGTAATTTCAGTCTTGCACATGAATTCAAGCACAAGCGTGCTTTTTCGGCAATCTCTGTCTACTAAGTAGAAACAAACACCACCTCAATATAGCACAAGTTGGCATATTTGTTGCTCATGTGATGACCTCTGTATGTTTTGTTTTTTTGCTTTTTTTTTAGATAATTGTGATGATGCATTGGTATCTCCCTTACCTTCAACAGCTCTTACCAGTTCCTCTGAGCTCTTCAGTACTCACAGTCCCAGCTTTGCAAAGCTCAACAGGCGAGATGGTAAGGTTGCAGTATGAAATGCCTAAACTATTTTTTCTATTCAAATTTACAAAGAATAACTTTTTATGCTGTTTGTATGCAGTGCATTCAGAGCCAAGTTGAATAGAGCTGTTAATTTATGCTTCAGTGAGAGCTCTATTTAGGAGCAACTCCTTTCTTTATTATAGAAAACTTCCATTGAATCTGAAGCTTTCCACTTCTCTTGTAGAAAAATCCTGAAGGAAGCTCAGATAGTCTTTTTGCTTTTGAAGAGTTACCATAATCTTTAGAACTTGAAGGTCATTAGGCTTGAGGTCCTCTTCTAAAATGTAGGTGTTTTTTAAAGCTAGTAGCAACTAGATATTAAAGTTCCAGTGGAATGCAATGATTACACAGATCTGCAGAAATAGTGAAAATGAACTCCCACATGAGGTGAAACTATTAGGATCAAACTTGGTGCCAGAAAAGAGAAGTTGGCAGTACCTAGGACATCATTTGACACCATGTGGCAAATTTGGCTCCCATCTTATTACCAAGTTAGAGCCTCTAAAAGAGGAAAGACCTGTATTGTCACATTACATATGATTTTCATTATAAGAAATACTAGAAAGTATACTACTAGCAAGAGATTTTAATTGAAAATAAATGAGAATTTTCCTACTTAAAAAAATCTCTGAAATGTCAGTTTTATCAAAAAAGTTGATAATTCTATAAAAAGACAGTAAAGGTCTCTTAGATGCTTGGTACTAATGATAAAGAGTTGCTAGGTCATTAGAGAAGTGTTAGATGGGAGTTACTGTATCATATTTAAACTCGTGAACCAGAGTTCCTCAATAAGTAAAAGGTCTTATGGTCATTGCTCGACAGAAAGAAAGTTGTAAACATTGAGCATGATGTTTGAATTTGCCCTGCCTTTGTCTCCAACTGCTAGCTAGGACGGTGAATAGACGTGCTTGCATGTTTTTGAAATAGCTCTAATGACTAATTTTGTCTGCCACAAAGAGCAAGAGATTCATAGTCAATATTATTGCAAGTCAAACTCTGTCTGTGCTGTATTTTAAAGTGGTATTAACAAAATATAAAATAAATTGACAATGATTGCAATTTAAAGGCAGAAAATGAAATAGGTGTTATTTAGCTGTGCTAGAGTAGTTTTGCCCCATAGTGGGGTGTAAGGTATTCTAGTTTTTTTAGACATACAGTATCGCGTACAGTAAGGTCCACACTGTCCTTTGGCACAAATCATGGGAACAGGAAGACAGAGCATTGAATCTGAACCCTAAGCAAGGAAGTTGTTTTAGCAACTTTTTTTTTTTCATGTTTTGAAGGCTTATGTGATAACTATGACCTAGAAGCTAAATTCTACCTTGCTTAATTCTTTTGTCGCACAGACTTGTAGAAATGCATAGATGTAGTGCCAGCAGAATTCATATGCATAGTTCATCTTGGGTTGGAGGAGCAAGGAGTGGTAGATAGTGGCCAAAGGAACTTTCTTTGGGTGGCAGTTGAATACAAACAGTGGATTTCTTTATAAGAAATAATATTCACTAACAAGGACTGTGCCATGGCTTTCTAATAATGTTGGAGTGTTTTGATGAGTTGGCTTAGCTTGGTTTGTAATTGATAAGACAGTGCTGCAAGTAACAGTGCCTCCAGGTAGAAAGTCAGATAAGTATATTTGTTTATGTAAATATGAACGTAACGGGTGAAGATTAATTTATAAACTACAATCCAGACCTACATCAATAGGAAGTTCTAATTCATCAAGTTGATTCAGTAAGAGATAACAATAACTAAAAGGCTCTTGTTTAAAAAAAGGTCTGCAGCAGTGAAATGTGCCATTAAAAAAAGCAACAAAACACACAAGCTACCCATGAGTAAAGCTTGGTGTGAAATGCTGAAAGCGCTCAATTAAAATGCTGATAAATCTGTACTGGTAATAGTAAAGCAGTTAGTATAATTCTGATAAATATGATTCTGAGGTATGAAATGTATTACTTACCCATGGGAGAGACTAATCTGCTTTTTTGTTTACAGTAAATAAATAATGAAAAAGAGTAAGAAAATTGCTACAATATGACTGTATCAACTAAGCTTTTTCAGTTCTCTATTAGCTCTCAGCCTGAGTAGTCAGTATAGGCAATTATGTATGGGAATATAAAACATATGTAATGTCAAAAAGAATTTGTTTTATGGCCAGGAAGTGTTTGATCTGGGCATTAAATTAAAATTCTGCAGCAGGGAAGCACTTAGTTGCAGCAGGAAGTCCAAGAGTTTGTAGCACAATATAAAGCCATTGGAGCTGTTTGCAAGCACTGTAGGGTAGAAGCAAGCATTCCCTTTACTTCGTATTAATAAAATACAAATAAGTATGGGCATCCTGAGCAGCCCTGTGGAACATCAAGGAGCATTGACTGCATAACACTGGGCTTAAACACAGTTTTTGGAACAATTATGGCAAAATGTACAAATGGTCTGAAAAACAAAAAGGTATTTGATCATATTTCTTGGAGTCATATGGATCCCCAACTGAGACACCATCTGATCTTTGTTGTCCTCATATTTCTAGCATTATGATTTGTTGCCATGGAGAATATGAGCAATAGATCAGATTCCTCTGGCACTGTTTCTCCACTAGGGCATTTTCTCCATACCATGTTGAACCTCTCCCTTGAAATGATCCACAGAAGATGTGGAATGTGTGAACTATGAGGAATGGCAGTGTAGCACAATGCGCAGAATCCTATCAAAGCCAGTGGGAATCTGGTGGGCAGAATGGGGAAATTGTATGCCACTCAGACATGATGTTGTAAAGTGCCAAGCAAGTGTTGACTTTGTTAAGCGTCTCCTCTCTCTCTCTCTCTCTCATTTTCTTGTGAGAGAGGAAATGTGGCATCTTTATACATTAGTACTTTCTAGATTACCTAAAACCAAATGTTCCAATCTGGTGGGTGTAACCAGAGCCACATTTTGTCTGTTTTATGTTTATGCCACGCTATTAATAAAAGGTGTATGGTTCTCTTCAATTTCCTTGTGCCCAACTGCAGGAAAACGGTGTCAAGGTTATGTTTATATCTATTCAAAGGAGTTGATGTCCTGTAAATATTGTGTCTTCAGTAGCCCTTGTTGTTGCCTCTAAGAGCCTTCACATCCCACATTCTTGTCTTGGGTCTGCCCTGAGAAACGATCCCCAGGATGAGCATCACTGGTGGGCAGTAAAAGAGTTAATATAGTTTGGATGTGCTTTTTGGTACTTACCAAAATAAGTATGAGGTGGGGTGTTGACACACTCTAAGGAATGATGTGCATAGAAGAAAAGTGAAGGCACAGATCATGCTGGAAAAAAGATGCCAATATCCCTTGTGCCACATTTATTGATTTTTGGCAGTCGCAGCAGTATTTGGTGAGGATTTGGGAAACCCACAAAAGTAAGCAGACGTTAACATGTTTGATTTACTAGCAGAAGTGAGAGAAACCCAATGGGAAAAGCTTTAGTTCTGCCCTCAGTCACGCAGCCAACGCAGCTTTGGTGTTGCAGGGATTTCAACCGCCATTCTTACAAGTCAGTAAAACTACAGCCCATCTGTGGAAATGGTAATGGTGGGAGGTTTAAGAGAGGGAAATACAGTGGATTTTTTCCCACGGGAAAACGTGTATGAAGCAGCTGCTGTTCTGTAAAGACATGGTCTGTAACTGACAACATCTCTCTTCCAAGACCAGCTTCTGGAAAGGTGATGCTGTGAGCAAGTGTCACTGCTGTGTCATGTAGTGCTTACGTCTGAAGAGCGACATTCCCAACAGACAAATGTGCTCGTGTGAAGAGATATGCAGTTCAGAGGTGCCATGTAATCTGCAATTTGATAGCTTAAGCTCAACACATACCTCCCAAATTTTCATTCAGTGTGTATCTATAAGCCTGTTGTGCCATGTTCAAATTGGAAAATAGCAGTGCATAGTTAAGCCAAATACTTTTGTGGATGGCATAGCACCTTTCTGCCACTTCCTAGCAGCAGAAGGGAGAGGGCATAAACTACAAAGAGTTAGATGTTAGTTATGATGTTTAACAAACTACTAGAAAGTACTTGTGGTAATAAGCTTGGCTTAAGAAGTTATGTATAAACTAGAACAGAGAAGGCAAAGAATTTCTTCTTTTTTTCTTTTTTAATGGGAATCTCATCAAACAAATTACTCGTTTTAAGTGATTTTCCTCCATCTAGCTGTTGCTGTTGCTGTTCTGGAAAGGCGATAAAGGCAAGATGAAAATGCCCACCTTTATTTTAATATTTACTGAAAACATCTAGAATAAGCTCTTTGGAGTGTTAAAGGGAACAACGTTGAGCCACAGACCTGTCAGAACTTCTGAACTGAACTTCTATGTCCTGCCAGTTCCTGAAATAAAACTGTAAACAAAGCGGCAACTGTCATGTTCAGAGCCTATTTCGGATATTGGATATTACAATCCAAAGGAAGTTTTCCTTTGGCTCCTGTGTACATTAGTCACAGTTCTGTGTAGGAGAAAAAAGTAGCTTTTTGTCTTTGAAAACAGTTCTATAGTTTGTATCTTAAAAGCCAGACAAAAATATTCTTTATATGGCATTTAAGATTAAAAAAAAAAAAAAAAAGGTAGTGGGAAGAAGAAACGTTGTTAGGATTTTTAACAGGAAGTACTATAGGCTCATATAAGCACTATATAAATGTATGGAGTTAAAAGAGAGCTATGAAGTAGAGCAGAATTGAGTGATGAAATTCCGAATATTCTCATTAGGTCTTTCTTGACATGCTCATAGGGGAGAGTGTTGTATTTAAGGCAGCTAAAATAATCACAGTGACGATGAAGACTTCTATTGTGACTGAAAGAGGTAAAATAAAGCATGGCACTAGCAAGCAGTATGCATCGGTTTAGTTACAAACTATTTTCCCTGGAGAGTCCTCGTAGAGGAACGAAGACTGAGTCATTCAGGGGAGCAGGGACAATACTCAATTCTAGCTATGGAATAAACTTCTGTTTCAGGAATTAGGACTAAATCTTATCTATAATGAACTGTAAATAATGAAAATTCTGACAGACAAAAGACTTTCAGTTTTGATTTGGAAAATACAATGCGGTCCAGGAAAATCAAGAAATTTTTTTAAAGGGCAAAGTTATTGAAATCAAGTTCTTTGATATAAACCACATTTACTGATCTTTCAACTCAGTTCACTTCAATAAACTCTTCATGGAGCAGCTTTGAGACAGATCAGTTAATAAGATTAAAATATTAAGGTAAATCTACCCATGTATAGCCAAAGTTTAGTGATGTTTTTTGTTTGGAAATGCATACTTGGAGTCATTCTTGTAGTTTACATAAGGAATTGTTAATGCTGTACTCTGAACTCTGTATTTCCCCCTTTCCTTCCCAATGTGATTGTGTTCACTGTAATTGCACAGAAGTGCTTTTGTAAACTTCACTGATGATAACAAAACAAACAAGATGTTGGGTTGCAGAAGCAGTGACAGCCTGAAAATTTGCTGATACTTTGTTAATGGCTTCTGCATTCTTCATTGCTGCATTGTTCACTTATTTGTAAGGCTGAAGCGAACACTGGGTGTATATGGAGAATAAATGTGTACAAGTAGAAACAAGTTAAAAGAAAATAAATATAGCCTATAATTTAAGGGTGTAAAAGAAAGCAAGAGAACATAAAATAATATATTCAAGTCTGGAAGGATTTGCCTTTTAACCATAAGCTCGCATTTATTGTAGTGAGTGAAGTGGTGAAATTCAAGCAGTGATTGCAGTTCTGTGTTTCATTGGCTTGGTGTTACCATGGGCCTCTAATCTCTAAAAAAAATTCAAGGGATAGTACATTACTTTTAAAGGACAAACACGCATTACCATCTATCAAGCTTCTACGTGATCACGACTTCTGAAGTCTCCATTCCTGAATGGAGAAGTGGATCGTGGAAGTTGCAACTTGTGTTTGTCCTTATGAAGATCTTTTTTGGTCTTTTGTTTAAGATAAAATACATGTTCACTTAACAAACATCAGAAAATGTTTGTTAAAATCTGAAAAAGGAAGAGGCTACTTTCCACTGTGAAGACAGTCCTTTTAGTTGTTCAATTTAATGGTCTCTAGCTTTACAACATATTATCTGAAGTGCATTTACAACCTGTAATTAAACCATTCTTTCAAATACTTAACAGGGCACAAAAGAAGATAGCGAACATTTTTGCGTGTCTTTCAAAACATAGCAAAAAAGAAAAATGTCAAAGCAAATTAGAAGTTTAGAAATCAACATTCCCAGATTTGCACAAGCATGCGAGTAGGGAATACATACGATACTTTTTTTGTGACTGAGCATGTGCCAACCTTACTGACAAAGAACAGATTTCCTTAAAAATTCTTAGAAAGTCAACAATCCTTTTTAACTTTAGGTTCCTTAAGAAAACCTTAAGGAAGCTCACCCCATGTAGCGTATTTCCTAATACAAAATATGAACAAACAACTGTATGTTCAGGAAGTCGACTCCTCTGTGATGACCTGAAATAATAACGAGGTGCTTTCTCAAGTATAATTTCTTGTGCTGGCATTGCCATCTACATTATCTGTGTCTGATCTCTTTTAGGAGCTGGTGGCTGGTCCCCGCTGGACTCAAATGAGCAGCAGTGGCTCCAGGTTGATCTGGGAGACAGAGTGGAGATCGTCGCGGTCGCTACCCAGGGCAGGTACGGGAGCTCAGACTGGGTAACCAGCTATACGCTGATGTTCAGCGACACCGGCCGCAACTGGAAACAGTACAGACAAGACAACATCATCTGGGTAGGTCTGAACTGCGGGTGCCTTTGGCCCCAGTTCTTTCTGGTTCAGTCTCATTTTGGCATTTGGAGAAACAGCTTCGGTTTCAGATCAGAGGAGTGCTTTGGTGTTGAGAGCGCAGACCTGAGCGCCTCTACTGGGTGTTTTGATCTAAATGGGTTATGTCACCGACAGTCTGTGTAATACAAGTTTAGGCCCTCAGGATTACATTGTTTTTCAGACTATGAGGATGCTCAGGGCACTCAAAATGACCTGCACGCTTCTGCGCCTGGTTGGCTTTGATTCAGGCACACCAGGGTAAGTGGGGCTAATCGCCTACATCCTTTCTGCAGGAAATATGGAAATTAACTCTGTGTCTTATACACGCTGGCTGGCCAGAACAACCGAGCTCGTGCTGGGGGAGGTGGGTGGTAAATTGCTCCTCGGCTGGAGAAGGCTGGAGCTGCAGCATGAGTTTGTGGGATGATTTAGCACACGCGCTGAAAGTGCTCGAGGCTTTTCCTGAAATTTTAATGTAGACTTGACGCTTACCGTGTCGCAAGTTCAAGGTGTGGGCAGGTCAGGTGCTGTTGGTAGGATTGCATGTGGTATCAGCGCCCCTCAGGTGTGGATGGAGAAGTCTTCCTTTTGTATAGAAAATGTGAATTGTTAGTGAATTGTTAACAAATGGCAGCATCCTCTCCATGCTATATGCTCTAGTTCTGAGAAGCAATAGCCTCAGTAGCATGAGAGTAGGTGGTGGTAAATGAAACATATCCTTTATAAAAATAAAAGGGAACATTATAAGTGATCTAGTAGATTTCTAGGTTTTGTCTTAATTTTTTCTTTGGTTAAAATCTTGGTTAAATGCTGTGTTGCAAAAGCAGAGTTTGTGTCCAGAACATAATGATTGTGAATGTGGAGAGCTGTGGTGCAGCAGGAAGAGAGGGGAAGGGCTGCTGATTTTTTTCCTGAGCATGTTGCTGGCAGAGGGAATGCGTGTACAGGGAGGTTAACTTCTGTGGTTTTAAAATGCATTGCATTACTGCTGTCTTTGTTTTATCACGGTTTGATTTAGGGAAATCTAATGAAATCCTTCTTCCTTTAGAAAGGCAAGTTTGGCCCAAAGGTGGTCGTAAAGTTGTGAAGTGAGGCTCTGCTTCACCTGTCATTTATAAAGTTATATTAGGCTGGCTTTGCTCCAGATGCTTCTCTTTTTTCTTCCTTTTTTTTTTTTTCTTCTTCTTGTTTTGTTAGTGTTTAAAAACAGTGGAATTTCATTCTGAACTGAATATAGTGATCATTTAATCTGTCTTTGGACTTCCAACCTTGGGACTCAAAAATCCAGAATTGAGATATTTTTATAGACTTGGTGTCATTAAGTGTTTTCTTCCCTGAAAATATTATGTGCTTTGTTAAAATTTTATATTAAGACAACTTAATTTTTTATTACATGTCTAACTTTTCAGTCCTTTCCTTTTTGGAAACCCTTGACCTTTTATTTTCTTTTGTAAATTTTTCTTCTTAAAGGGCAACTTGAAAAGACAACACATAGAATTTCCCATAGCAAATCTTCGTGCCCTAAGGAGCCAATTTTGTGAGTTTCTGCTCTGGCACCTAGCATTGCGCACGAGAATAAGAACAAACCTATCAGGCATTTGACAGTGAATTAGGATTTATGAAGAACCTGAACTCTTTACTAAGTGATCAGGCATGAAGGTGATTCAGAGCTGACTCTGACACAAGTTCTAAAGCTTCAGTAGATCTGGAAGCTTGAATTCTGGATGGGGGAATTTTTGTATGCTCTTCTAATGAAAACCACCATAGGCTACTGAGGATAGTTTTGTATATAATTGAGGAAATATGAAATAGAATTTTGATGAGGAAAAGGTAACACTGGGGAAAGGATTTGGATATTCTTCTCCTCCCATTACTTTCTAAAATTCACACTGACCATATGAGCCAGTAACATAACTCTGGTCCAGACGACTGATTTGCTCCATGTCCCCAGGCAGAGGGCTTGAAGGGATTGTTAGGATGCATCGCCAAACTTTGCTGTTGGAAGAATCTGATAGTGAAAAGCCAAAGCGGGCTCATTTGACATTTCATTAGACTCTACAGTCCACCTAATCTGGCAAGTTTTAGTAACACCTATGAGCTTGTGTGTCTGCCCATGGAATGAAAGAAGAATTACTTCTATACAATTTTTATTCTAACTGAAGAGAAAGTTGATTCTTTTTTTTTTTTTTTCCTGGCACTCTTGGATTTGTTTCACTGAATTAAATTAGATCTTGAGAGCCATTCAGAGCACAAAGAGAAAAGCCAAAGAGGCTTTCAGAAGCATGTATAGAATTATAATTCCAAAATTTGCAGTGTTTCTGTTTTATTGGCAGTAATCCTTTCCGTAGGCTTTTTTCTAAAAGTGTGCTGTCCAGCTGTATGTTGAAGGTTTTCTCTATAAAAGGCAGGCCTTTGGATGAAATGAAAACATCTGGGCTGTTAAATAGGTCTAAGGGAAGTTCTACATTGCACACCCCTTGGAAAGAACTGTCACCCTTGACTTAAGGGAGGGCAGTGGAGTGGACCATTTCACAGGGAGAGGGAAGCGGCACCCCAGGGTAGCCTCCACTGTCACAGTCTGTGGCAACATACACTCTACCAATCTGCCACAAGATTGGTAGTTTCAACCTTAGGAATCTGTATTCTGTTCTTTTTGGGGGTGCCAGGGTGGTCTGTCAGAGCAGGATTCAAGGTAGGAGTCTCCTACATCAGGGCAAGTTGGCGAGTTACCTCTCAACCAGAGGGAGTGGAGGGGTTAAAATCTATTTTTTTTGAGGAAAATGCACCGCTTCAGAGATCTCAGGTGGCTGGGTGCAAGCCTTAACATCCTCCCTGCAGGCTTTAACTTTGAAGCTTTTTCCCTCAGTCCCTAGGGCAGGGGTTTAGTGCTTTCTATGTCCCTCAGGACTTTGGTCTTTTTAAGATTTCCCTTTAAAATTTTTGTGCGTAACTAAAAGGGCTGGAAGTTTACCTACTTTATTGCTTTTTCTTCCAGAAAGTTGTGCTGTTCCTAACTTAAGAGGTGGTCAACAATGACTCATAGCTCAGATGCGGCTGTAAAAATCTAAATCATTGCCTGGAGATCATTAGATGACGTCTGCTGTATCAATATAAAATATTGATATGCACTGGACCTGTCAGGTTCTCTGATACAGCTTCTACTTTAGTAAAACTAGCTGGAAGTTTGTGCTTTGATGTATGGACATTACTGAATGTCTTACACCAATTGCTCATTGATGACAATTTATCATTCATTTACAGCTATTGAAAGGGGAGATTATGTATCAGTATAAGGGACCTATATAGTCTGGTGAATTTGTTTGCTTTTTTTCTCAAGGCAGTATAACTATGTGAAGAACCATTTGACAGAATAACGATTGCTGAATTGCTGAAATGAAGGGTGTAAGGAGTACCTGGGTTTCAAGGCAAGCATTTAATTTCAAGGAGAAATTTGAGGTATCACTCCGTTTTAATTTGTTTGCGTTCCAGCAAAGGAAAACAAGATCTTGACATTTCTTCTCCAATAAACTAAAACTGTTAAACTGTTAAAACCGTTAAACTAAAACTGGCAGAAAGCTTTAATCTCTACTCAGCCCAAGTCAAATTTGAACTGCAATTTCTCCCAGCCTATCTGCATGACCCAGAGACAGAGTTTCAGGGAATTCCCAGCTGGCTGTACCGCAGTGCTCTCTGGGGAGGAGGAGGTACGGGCACAGGCTTTCCCTGCTGCGTATCATGAGCCATCGGCCAGGTTTGGTGGAGACATCAGGAAGGCAGCAGCTCCTTTCACAGTCCCTGAGTAAGTCTGCCCAGATGAAACTTTTCCTAATCACGTCTTCAGTCGGATGCTCCATATTGCAAGTGGTGCTCCCAAATGTTGGATGCTCCATATTGCAAGTGGTGCTCCTGAGGTGTTCTTTCCAGCCATCTGGGTATAGGGTTTGTCCATCCATATGGCATGTGTGTCCTTCAGTGCGTCTGAGACCTGGGTACATAAATTCTTTATTGGGCTGCCGATAAGGCAGACGTTTGCACACCAGTATATATGACATATGACTAGTAAAATTCCCTTTCTCTTTATAGAGATTACAAGGCTTATTATCCTCCTCTCACGGCATGCATACAGCTCCCATCAACTTCACCGTTAATGAGCACTGCATAGACAGATCGCGAGGAGAATCAGAAAACCTCTTACATTTTCACTCAGCCTGTGTTTATGATGTTAGTAAATTCTGCAGCTGGAGTTGAAGACAAGACAGATTAGCCATTTAAAACCAATTTTCCAACCCCATTTGTATTTAAATAATCTTGTTACAAAAGGACTGTGTGGTTCAGAGCAAACTCGACTTATAATTATATTTTCCATATGGATAAATCAGCTGTGTGTGGACACACTAGCTATTGATTGGGAGACATAAAACATAAATCTTATTGCTTGTAACAAGTAAATGATTTTTCAGTGTTTTTAAGTGCTGAATAATTCAGAATTTACTTTACCTGCATACGCACCACAGCTTGAGTCAGTCCAAATTGTGTATATTACTGGGACAAAAGTGTGGGCTGTGATACAATGCTATTTCATTTTAGACAGCAATTTTTATGCTATCTATATTGAAAAATACTTTACAAAGCTGAAAAACGCAATTATGCAGGAAGACACAAAGGAAAGGGGAGGGAGCAGGCAGAGATGGATGCAGCAAAAGGAGAAAAGAGATGTTCTTAACAGAAAGTTTTGAAAGGAGAAGGGGAAGTTGTGGAATTGGAGATAAAGTGAGACTGCTCTGACAGTGGTAGAGAAGGCTCTTATATTGGAACAATGAACCTGTGCAGAAAGTCAATGGAGGGGAAAAATGGCACAGATAGCAAGGAGATACTTCATATGGAGCCAACACATGCACATATTTGCACATACTGAGTTTGGAGCTGACTGTTGGTGAAGCTTCTTACATACCTGCTGTCAACCA